AACTTTGTCCTGTATAATCACTTTGACTGCAGAGGGTTTTGTATATACAGTTAATTGTGTGTACTAGTACTTCTGTCAAATCATATGACTCCTCTACTTAAATATCTTCATCATTGCCTGTAGCTATTCTGGGAAAATTAAGCTCCTTATCATGGATTATGGTTGCCTAGGATCTGGCTACTGCCTGCTTTTGTTACTTGATCATGTTCTAGCTTGTCTCATTATTTTTACTCATTGTCTCTGACACAATACCTACCTTGTGTTTGTTTTATAACGTAACAAACATAACATTTTCTTCTTACCTGGATAGTGCTTTTCCAGATCTTTTAATAATTGACTTTCGATATTCAGGTACTTGTTGAAATATCAAATTTTGACGATGATCTCTGACTATGTAAACTGACCTTCTCTTAACTCTGTAGCTCAATACCTTATTTATTATTTATCACAATCCAAAATATTCTCAGATATATAATTAGAACTTCCAGGAATAGAGGATAGACATTCTTGTTCATAGGTCCAGATACAGGAAGCATTTTTGTTGAGTGGATGAATGAATCAGTGTTTAATCTTATAGAGACACATTGTGTGCCTATTTGTACACATCTGTATTTGATGTTTTCAGTGGAAAGATTTTTACTTACAGTTTCAGGGTATATTGCAGAAGGCACTGCATTCATGACAAAGTTTTCTATTATGATTTTAGAGAAAATTTACATAGGCAAAAGCTAGCAGTTCCCAAAAATATTATTCATTGACTCATTGATCTTGGTTATACTTTTTTTTTGGTATACTTTTCATAATATGTCTGCATTCTCTTATCTACACTCTTTCTATATTGCTTAAAATTACATAGCTTTATTTTACCTTTGCAAGATATTGTTTTAATTACCAGCAAAAACCTTTCAGTATTTTCAAGATTGGTGCCAGTTTAAGCTGTCAAAGGTTATGGTTATCATTTAGGTGGATAATTTTAAATATAAAAATGTTAATATTTGTTAAAACTTGTTACTACTCCAGTCCCTCTCTATATATTAAATAATTTACTCTTTAAAAATTACATTTCTGTGAGTTATTATTTCTGTGTTATATTTGAGGAGACAAAGACAGAAAGAACCCAGGAACCTTTATAGTTAGAATTAAAACTCTTAGAAATCTCCTGTCAGTGTAATGTTGTGGTTGTGTGCCATGGGGTCAACTCCAGCTCATAATGACAACAGCAGATCAAGAATTGGCCCTGTTTGTGTTGTCCTTACAAACTCCACCATTGTTGTAGTCACTGTGCTCTTATTAAAATTCTTCTCTTCTTCTATCCCTCCTCCTTTCCATCCATCATGCCCTTTTTCAAAGCCTGACTCCTCCATCAAACATACTCAAAGTTTGTAAGACAGAATCTCATCATCCTTGTCTCCAAGGAATACCTTGGGTTCACTTTTAAGACAGATTTGTTTGTTCTTTTGGCTGATGAGTCAAATGCAAGAGTGGTTATCCATGGTGGACAGTGTTTGGTGGAGCTCCCCAATTAAAACGAGCTTGGAAGCAGGAGTGGCATCCACTTCCATAATAACTTGCCCCTGGAAACCCTGTAAACCTGGAGAAAGAACGAAAGTCATACAGGTGTCCAGGTCTTTCGTTCATAGGGTCGCTTTGAGTCGCCTACGACTCGCTGACACAACAACAACAACAACAACAAAAAAGTGAGATCCTTATTCTTCAGCACTTGAGAAAGGGATCTTTGACAGCAGAGCTTCTCAATGAAACACATATTTTTATTCCTTTACTACTTCTTCTGTAGGTATTCATTATGGCTCCAAGTAGAATGAAAACCTTTGCCACTTTACTTTTTTCTGTATTTATCTTGATGTTGCCTATTGAGCCAGTCTCTATCTCACTCTTTTGTCATTGTGATTGAGTCAAACTAACTTACCCTTCAATGGGTTTTTGATGGTTGCAAGCTTCTTAGTTAGTGTGCTGCTGGTGGATTTAAACTACCAGAGAAGTGCTGCTTTTGGGTTGGCAGCACAAATGTTTTCAGAATACACCACTAAAGTTTCCTACTGATCCCAGTAGTGAAGATTTTTGTTTTCTTTTTGTTGAGGTGCAATCTATACTGAATGGCTATATATAGTTTTTTATCTTTTTTTCATGTGTACTTTGAGTCTTTTTTATTTTCTGCCAGCAGAATCATACCATCTTAATAATACAGTTTGTTGATGAGTCGTCTCCAGTTGTGATGCAACTTTCTTTTTAGTCTAGTTCAACTTCTTGAATTGTTTAGTTAGTGGACATACTACATAGATGTGGTGAAAGGATACAAACTTAATTCACACCTTTCCTGATAATAAACTGTCTACTCTCTCCTTGCTTTGTTTGAATGATTGCTTCTTGTTTCATGCACAGGTTCCTCATAACCTCATAATTAAGTTCTGCAGAATCCTCATTTTTCTTGTCATAGATAATTTATTATGATCCATGGTCTAATGATTTTGCATAGTCAGCAAAACACAATGTATTCTCTGCATTGAGCCAGTGTCCATCTCATGTCAGCAGCAATAGTCCTTATTCCTTCTGAAACCAACTTGAGTTTCTGGCAGTTCGCTTTCAGTGTGCTGCTCCAGCCATTTTTTAATAATCTTTATGGATATTTTGCTTGCATGTGATAGTAATGATATTATAAACACGTTTTGTTGGCTCACTTTTTTTTTTGGAATGGGCACGAATAATGAATCTCTTCCAATTAGTTGGTCGGGTAGTTGACTTGCAAATTTCTTGGCATAAATATGAATGAGCACATCAAGATGGCATCTTTTTGGTGAAACATTTCAATTTATATTATTTCATTTTCTGAAGCCCAATTTTTTTCTTTTATTGCTGATGCCTTCACAGTCTAGACTTCTTTCAGTAGCATTGATTTTTGGTTTTGTTTTTTTATTACTTGCTACTCTTGAAATAGCTCATTGTTGACCTCTTCTTTTTAAGAGTTTTTCACTTTCTACCACAAGTTTTTGCTTATGATGTTGTTAGGTGTTGTTGAATTGAGCACAGACTCAAGTGATGCTATGAACCCTGTCATATCCTGTACCATCCTCACACTTCCTGATACACAAAAGCTCATTGCGGCAATCACTGTGTCAATCCACCTGGTTGAGGATCTTCCTCTCCTTCACCAACTCTCGACTTTTCCAAGCATCATAACCCTTTCCAAGGAATAGCCCTTCCTAGCAACATGCCTGAAATATGTGAAGTGAAACCTCGTAGTCTTTGCCTCTAAAGAGCATTCCAGCTGCACCCTCTCCAAGATACATGTTTGCTTTCTTGGCAGTCTTTGGGATATTCATTGTACTTCTCCCAAACCCCGGCTCAAAGGCATCCGTAATTCTTCTGTCATCCTTTTCATTGCCCAGCTCTGAGATACATAGCAATTGATTAGAAAGACGATGATCTGAATCAGATGCTTCTAGATGGCATTAGACCTCAAACTGACATTAATACTCCTTAATAATTTGGAGAAGTCCCTAACTGCAGATATTCCCAGTACCATACATCCCCTTATTTCCTGACTGCTGGTACCAACGGTATTAATTGTGGATCCAGGTAAGATTAATTTCTTGACAGTTTCAATCTCTTCTCCATCCATCATGATATTGGTCCAGTAATAAGAATCTTTGTTTTCTTGACATTGAGATGATGCATTCAATAATGAAGGCTGCATTCCTTGATCTTCTGCAACAAATGCTTCATATCCTCCCCACTTTCATCAAGCATGGTTGTGTCATCTGCATATTGCAGGTTATTGATAAGTCTCTCTCTCTCTGTAATCCTGATGTCACATTTCTTCTCATAGAGTCCAGCTTCTTGGACAATTTGCTGAGCATACAGATTGAATAAATATGAAGAGAGAATAAACCCTGACACACACTCCCTTCTTAATTTTAAACTACATAGGGTTTCCCTGCTCTGTTCACACAACACACTCCTCATATAGGTTTCACATGAGCACAGTTAAGTGCTTTTGAGACTGACAGAGATAGTATGATGCAAGATAAGGTAAGGTTCCAATCTATTATTAATAGAGTTGCTATGAGTCAGAGTCAAAATCACAACCACAAGAGGGTGTGAAATATTTCATCATAACCATCAGGTGCCAGAAATGGTTAAGACCATGACTTGGATCAGGTACACCTTAGTCCCTAGACTGAAATTGTTTCTCTTCAGTACTCAGGAGAGGCCCTTGACAGTAGATTTTTCAGTGACATTTGTCCTTTGACTTACTAACTTCTGATGCCAAAAGTGTTGGTTGTGGAACCAAACAAGCAGAAATTGTTTAAAATCTCAGTCTCTTCTCCATCTGTTTTGATTCTGCCAATTGGCCCTGTGGTGAGAATCTTTGTTTTCTTGATGTTGAGCTTTAATC